GAAACTGTTATGCTAATCATGCAAAATTAACGAAAATAACTTACATATGCTCTACGGTTCTTTTTCCAAGTTTCAGCCTTACGTTTGGACTCTACAGGTTTTGAAACAAAGTCAGGAGGCAGTTGGGATGGCCAATTTCTGTAAAGCAAGCATTGAGATAAAAGCAGTAGACAATGAGCAGTCGTAAAAATTGTAGTAGAAAAACCTGTAGTGCTCAGTGCGATGGATTTTCTTTAATCCTGTGCATAATCCAAAATCAGAAAGTTTCACATGGCCCTTAAAATGATTACTACGAAGGCTGTTATACAATATACTGTGCTGGAATACCCTAGCATCCAAAAGAAGATTGTCAGGTTTGATGTCACGATGAATAAAATCGAGATTGTGGATAAACTGAATGGCGAGAGCAGCTTCAGCGATATAAAATTGCGCCGCCTCTTCACTAAGTGTGTCCTTTTTGATCAGCAAAGTCATCATATCGCCTTAAAACGTAATGACATAAACAGGTCTGAGAGAAACTGCTGAAAGGACTGCTCACCTCCAGGCAAAAATTCCATTACAAGATACAGGTTAACAAAATCTTGAAACGAGTAGTACATTTTCACAACCCATTCACAATCAGCTTCAGATAATATATCTCTCTCAGCACGCACGTGGGCAGTCTAAGCATGGTATTATCATGGCTGCGGAACAAAAAAAAAACGAAAATTTAAAAAAGTACCTGCTCCTTCTCCAACATTTCACTTTTTCGCAAAATTTTCATTGCATAAATGTGACCACTGTCAATTTTCTGCACTAACCTGACCTGTAACAGTTACAATTTTGATATTCACCACCTAAGACAAGAAAGATCATCGAAGACTAGGCAATTGTTGACTTGCTGAACAGATGGGGATCTACAATTGTTATGCTTGCTTATTACTTAGGATAAAAATAATTGTAGCAGATTATTATTGCAGAACTACTTCAATGGAGGAAATGCCTGCTAAAAAGTTCTGGTGACTATCAGAAAATATACCAAATTACAGGGCTAAAACTGGTAAAACTTCTAAGCTTGTTGCACGTCGAAATAATAGATAATCGTATCAATAATCTAAACGAGTTACCTCTCCAAATGCTCCTCGACCAATAACCTTAAGACTCTCGAAATCTGTAACCAGTAAACGAGTTCGTTTTAAACGGAGAAAGTCAGTTTCCTTGGAATGCTGAACTCTTCGGCGCTCTTCCTTCTCGTCTTCGCTAATGCCTAGAGTTCAACGAATATGTCAGCATACATATTACCTCAAGCTTATTTGAACACAATTTTACCTTCAGCAGCCATTTTCTCCTCAAGTTTTTTAGCCCGAGAATCACGCTCGACGGCTTGTGTAACTGTTTGAGCATAAAAGGATTCGATGGCGAGCCTTGTCCTGCTCGCTTTATCCCTCATATACTGTGAAATTACTGGCTTTTCCGTCATTTCTGAACGAAAACCCACATGTCGCAGCTGTTTCACGACATGCTAATTGCGGAGGTAACCCGAAACAAACAAATTCACTACCAACAATGCTATGACAATGAAATTTAACCCATACAATAAGTTTCTTATTTCAGCATGATTAGAGATTTTTAGCAAAAAACAAGCGCTTGCACCAAGGAACCTAAAGCTTCAAATTCGAGA